GGAAGGGTCCAGATCCGAAACGTCAGCTTTCCTGCTCCTCTGATGCTGCTTGGCCTGCTGTGTTCATCCAGCTCTACACCTTGTTATCTCAGATTCTCCAGCATCGGCACTTCCTACTATCTTTGAATCAGTTACAAGTATCTGCTTGGTACTGCAAATGAGCCAATTTCCACAATCCTTTAGACATAAGTACTCAAAATATATTAATAATGGAAGAATCCTCATTATCTATGTGGATTAATAAACAAACAGTTCTTTTACTTGTATATTGATAGTTCACCAATCTTCAAGAATAAATACTCAAAATACACTCCAGGAAAATTTATAAAAATGAATAATTTGCAGTTTCATTCTTGAATGTTGTAGAAAATTTACTAGAAACTAATTTTAAACATTTTAGAAACCTTGTAAAATTTTACTTTATTGCCTGTTTTTCTGCAGGCATATTTCTGAAATAAAAAATTGTTTTTATGTGTTGTGCTTTAAGGCAAATGGATTCATGTTGTTTATCTAAAAAGGTGCTATTTCTTCCTCTGTTTTGCATCCAGGTAATGATTTATGCCTGACCATTAAAGATGAAAATAGCAGCAATAGCAGCTGGTGCTGACTTTCCCAGCCTTTCAGTCTTTTTGATTGGCATCCAGCATTGTCTCAGCACTGCACTGTCAGTTTAGCCCATGCACTTTACTGCTGATGTGGGGTTTGATCCATAACCTTGGGATCAGTTGAGTCAAATAGATTCTGAACTGTTCGTGATTCACCTGAACAGGCTGAGTTGGCAGCCACTTCAGGTTTAGAATTTAGGTTAGAATTTATTATCGCCGAATGCCTGGAAGATGAAGCATTCATTTCTATATGTTTTATTGCATCAATTCAGACATTTAAAAAAGTCATTCACAGATGTGGGTGTCAATGACCAGGCCATCAATCACTTTTCTGAAGAAGGGTCTAGGCCTGAAACGTCAGCTTTCCTGCTCCTCTGATGCTCCTTAGCCTGTTGTGTTCATCCAGTTCTACACCTTGTTATCTCCTGTAGGGGTGCTTCACTTGAAGGAAATGCGGATCAACAATCTGTTCATCAGTATGCCATTACTATTTCTGAACAATTCTCGCTACTGGGAGTGCAAGGCAGTGAACTTGCCCCTTGATGAACTATTTTCTTAGCCCTCTGCCAATTATGTTGCCTGGCAGGAAAGGGATTTTGTTATTCTGAAGTGATTGATCATTAGGCCGACAAAATTTGTTTGCTTCCGACCTTGCAATGCTAATTATTTATATGAACAGGAGGCAAAATAATTGGTAAATCTCTGTGCTGAGCTAAACGGGAAATCACAACAAGTTTCTAATTGGAATGGTAAGCAAGTGAAATCTGCTGTGGTGTGAGAGCAGACCATCTCACCTCTGCATAGTGACATTAAAGGACATCTTCATATATTTTCCTCTGCAAAGTAAAAGACACATTCACAGATTTCCAATCATACGCTCTTTTAGCATAACTTATTAATGGTGGCAGTAAAAGAAACATTTCTTTTACTAGATCTGGCATATAAATTGCAGTATAATGAAGACTTCTTGACAATTTTTGACACTAAGCCACAAAGAAACCAAGACAGCTGACTAAAAGGTTGACCAAAGTGGTCGGTTTTAAAGAGAATATTAAATAAGACGAAGGATATGGAGAGGCAAAGAGGTTTACAGAGAAAATTCCAGAACTTAGGGTCAGAACCCGTTGAAAAATGGCTATCAGCTTGTTATCAGATCATGTCTAGGTTGCACACAGAAAGTAGTGTACCTCAATGTCAGTCAATATCCACAATCTTTATTAACTACAGATGTCAGATGTCACACAACACCAAGTTATAGTCTAACAGGTTTATCTGAAATCACAAGCTTTCATAGCACTGCCCCTTCATCAGCTGACAAACATATGCAAGAAGAGAGGGCAACTCATGAAGCTTACACATTGAGGTTCCAGCTCTGTGTGATCTGATGTCATTATGACATTGCTCCTTATACACATATTCAGTACCTATCATTACAGGAAAGGTATACTTAATCCTTCACTCTAGAGTGGAGTGATTACCATAAAGGATGTGCGAAGGGCCAGTATTGAAGTGCACAGAGGTTCAAAAGTTTCTAGGCCTGGAGGATATTAAATAGATAATGTTGTGTGAAGTTATGGAGAAATTTGAAAATAAAGATATAGGTTTTAAAGTTGAAGCTTGGATATAAGAAAACCAGTGAATCAGTAAGCACTGCCTCAAAAGCTGAGAGATTGGAGTGATTTGAGAGATGGACAGCTAAGTTTGAGAAGCACAAATTTACGATGGGTGGAAAATGGGAGGCCAGGCTTCAACAAGATGTTGGGGGCTTGTGATGTTACATGTTTTCCAACTGGCTTCCAGCTTTTAAAGATAGCCTGGACTCAAAACATTGACTTTGCTCTCTCTTCACACTCTTTATGTCACTGTCAATCTAAATACACCACTGGCCTTCCAGTTATTATCATTGTCCATCTAGATACATTAATGATCTCACTCTTATTGCCACTGTCCATCCAGATGCATCAATGACCACTTATCTATTGTCACTGTCCATCCAGATACACCGCTGACCTCATTCCCAGACTGAGGATGATGGTGGAGGAGGTATTGCTGTCTATCCTTACTGATTGCCATCTGTGGGTCAGGAAGTCACAGATCCAGTTACAGAGGGGGAAACAGAGTGCTAGGTCTTGCAGTTTGGAGATGAGTTTGTTTGGAATTATGGTGTTGTAGGCAGAGCTAAGTCAATAAATAGGAGTCTAACGCAGGTGTCTTTGTTATCCAGATGTTCCAGGGATGAGCATAGGGCCAGGGAAGTGGTGTATGCCATGGACCTATTACGACAGGAGGCAAATTGTAGTGGATCAAGGCAATCTGGGAGGCTGGAGTTGATGTGTGCCATTACTAACCTCTCAAAGCACTTCATAATAATGGGTGTTGGAGCCACTGGGCAGTAGTCATTAAGGCATATAGCTTGATTTTTCTTTGGCAATGGGATGAAAGTGGTCTTCTTGAAGCAGGTGGGAACCTCACGTAGGAGTCAGGAGAGGTTAAAGATGACTGCGAATACTCCCACCACCTGGTTTGTGCAGGATCTTAGTGTATGCCCGGGGACTCCATCTGGGCCAATTGCTTACCATGGATTCGCTCACAAGAAGGCCGAGCAGACATCTGTGGCAGCGATTGTGGGTACAGTTGCACTCGAGGCTGTCGGAGCTGGTGACATCATTCCACTGACTTTCTGTTTAAAATGAGCATACAGTGCATTAAGCTCATCGGGGCGGGGCACAATGTTGTCAGCAATTCTACACAACGTCACTTTGTAGCCCAGTATATCGTGCAAGCCTTGCCACTGTTGATGTGTGTTTGTGTGGTTAGTCTGGGACTCACTGCTTCGGTCTGGTATTGTCTCTTGGTGCCCTGCTGGCTTTACGAAGACCATACCCAGATTTCCTGTATATGTCAGGGTCACCTGAATTGAACGCCTGAGACCTGGACTTCAGTAAGGAGTGAATTTCTCAGTTCATCCATTGTTTCCAGTTGGGAAACACTCGGATTAACTTCTTTGGCACTTACTAATGAAGCCTGTGATGGTAGTGGCATACACATCTAGGTTGGCCGCTGAGTTCCTGAATATGGGCCAGTCCACCGACTCCGAGCAGCCATGCAGGGGCCCATCCATTACCTCAGGCTAGCACCGTACAAATTTCTGTACTGGATTCTCACACTTCAGTTTCTGCTTGTAAGCCGGGAGAAAGAGCACAAACTTACGGTCTGATATGCCAAAACACAGAAATGTGAAATGCAGAAGTGCCCTGTAAGTGGATTGGACATGTGCCATGAGCTTTCACAGAGGCTGGCACATGTTAGATGCCAATTTCTATGAAAATGGAGTCCTTGTGGCTGTTGCCTTTGGAGCACACCTAAAAGACCAGGAGTAAATCTTCAAAAATCAAAGAACTAAGTAACTAAAGTAGAGATGCCAGACCAGGTGATGTATTGTAACTGCATGATGTGAGAGCTGGGTGTCGCCATTATGGTGCATAGTGACCACATCTGTAGCAGGTGTTGGTTGCTTGAGGAACTCCAGCTCAGAGTTGATGAGTTGGAGTCTGAGTTTTGAACACTACGACACATCAGGAAGGGGAACAGTTATCTGGACATTGTGATTCAGGAGGCTGTCACACCCTTAGATAAAAACTACCTCAAATTCAGTCACTGGTGAGGGGCAGGTGGGCGTGACTATAAGCAAGGTAGGTTGGGAAATCTAGGAGTTAGTGTTGAAGGAGCCTCAGGCCTTGAGCTTGTCTAACAGGTTAAAGATTCTTGCTCCCTGTGTGAATGCCAGGGGGTGCTATAGGCTGAGGATGAGC